CACAAAGTGGTCTGCCAAAATTAAATCATAAAATGACCCAATCTAGATATGGCTGAAAGAAAGAAATTCAGGGACAATGCAGCAATTATTTAGATAAATGTACAAATGATATTACTAACAGTAATGCAATATTTAACACATTGGGATCAGTTATACAAAATATCACAGTATTGTCTATATCAAGTAACAATGAAATATTTAAGGTCAAATGTAGGCTTGTTTTTTTTTAAATAAGCAATCAAATGCTGATAAATAAAAAGTGCCTAAGAGCATGGTATTTATTTTGTGAAAATGTAATACTGCAGAACACATGATAAAAGCTTTGTTTCTTTTTTTAACAGGTTACTGCCTTATGTTAGGATATAAAATTATAAAACATATATCAAAACTCTTCTTCTTTTAGATTAATTTTATAGCTTTAAGGAGATTTCACTGTTTAGAGGAGCTGAGACAGCATTTCATCAGTGAAATATCTATGCCCCAGAAGTAAGGTCCAACCGTGAGAGCAGTCGGCGGAACCCAAACTCTTCCACATCATTCATCTACCCGATAAATTCATTTATTTTTTCAGGTTAATGTTTAATTGACTATGATGCTCATTAAGTAGTTTGTAAGCAACTCTCAGTTTCATTACCTGCTGTTTGATATGGTCTTTGTTTCCCACTGTGAGCCCCAATAACGCATCATCCTCTGCCAAGTGCTTGTTTTTTATATGTCATGTTGTGTTTGTTGTGTTGATGCATTTTGACATGTTTCACCTCGAAGGTCTTTTTCCATTTCAAGATGCAAACTTCACATTACTCGAAAAGCACAAAAGTTCCACATGACAGTGCTTAGGATTTGCTGTCATTTGATTGCAGAGTGTGAAGCTACACATGGGGCCTCTGCATTTTGTAAAGTAAGAGATACAGGTGAAGGTTAATTTCTTCTAGAATAGCCATTTCTGTTTCAAGTTACTCTTCACTGCATGTATATCTGTGTTATCCTGCAGCTTCATGCTTCCTGTTTTTTCTCACTGTGGACATCCTTATTTGACATGGCAACTTGCAAGTCAGCTAGATGGACATTCCAACACCTAAAGCTGTTGTTTCATAATGAGAACGATTTGTATTTATATTAGAAAAAGACACTGAGGGTTTGGTTTGTGTGTACTTTCTTTCACCATACTGCAGATGTGTACTGTAGAGAGAGAACTTATTCTTTGCATCACTAAATTTGCTGTGTGGCAGTCTGTGCCTGAGGTAAATACTGTCTATGTATTCGGGCCTTTTATCATCATGTTGTTATACTTGACTGGAATAAATTGTAAACCTAAAGATTTCTTTCCTTTTTTGCATTACTCTAAGAACTCCCCCTCATGAGTAAAAGAGCCAGGTTCAAACACAGATATTTGGTTTTGGGATCAGCAACCAAAGACAACGATCAGTGATCGTCTTTTAAATATTTTTACATGAAAATTGGCGGATTATGATCGGTGGCCAGTTGATCTTTACACCACTAAGTTTTAAAAGTTGTTCTTTTATGTCAAAGCTTATTTTAAGTTATTTTTAATTTCAGTTTTAAATCCATGAGGTTCGAAAATTATAAAAGTAGATTCATTACACTTTGAATTTGATTTATATACTCATAGATTTCTATACAATAAAGCTATTGATCTAAGGATCAATAGATATCTGTATAAAATATTACCAATGCTTCTTTAATGCCATGCTTTTCTTTTTGCATGGCATTAAATGCAGCACTGTTAAACTACACTTTTTGTCACACAAGATTTGCTTTTGTCTATCACAGTTACTCATGATGAATCTCTGTCTTCCTATAGTAAGCTTGGGACAAGCTATTAAGCAAAGAAGATATGTTTGGTTATTTACACTGCTAGCTGTCTGGCACATGCAACAACACAAAAGTTAGTCATGCGATCATGGAAAGACGCATGCACAAGAATCTACCAGTCCGCCCCTACACAGTCTACTATAAAATGAAAAGACATTTTTACTGAGTCTATGCGTGGGTGGTGTTTAGTATCAGTTTCTTTCAAATTTCAGACAAGCAGAACAATATAGGATGAGAATTTCACATATTTTCGTAAATTTATAATTACAGTATTTTGTCTCTTACTATCACAGCATTTTAAAAATGACTGCTGTAATGACCTCTCAATCAAAATCAAAGTAATAAACATGCCATGATCATTAAAGTATTTGGTTTATTTGGTTTAAAAGTTCACATTGAAAAAGAAATCACAGAGATTTGAGGTTTCAAATCTCTAAACTAACCATTATTTATCATTGATAGTCTATTTCCTGTAATTTTCTCAACTTTCAATAAAAGTAAAACCATATTTGAACCCCCTTTAGCATTGTTTTATCCCTGTCTGAGATTAAAACACACTAGTCTTCCAAAGCACTCTTTATTACATTCTTTAAACCTAAATGGTTACATTTATTTTCCTGTGTTCTGTACTTTTATTTATTACCATTGTATGTTATTTTCTAAGAAATTTCCCAGTCCCTCCTTTTAGAAAAACAAAAAAACAACAACAACAAAAAAACATCTCCACAAGATGATGTTGCCACCAAGTTACATCACATGCGTAGGTGTTCTTTTTTTTGTCAAGAAGTATTTTTGCAAGGTGTCGCAAAATGTCCTTAATGTTAAATTTTTCTTCAAGTTTTAAATGCAAAATGTATCTAGTTCTTTATTAGGTGTGTATTCGTTATATTTTATTTAAGTGATTTTGCTGTTGTTCAAGAAATGTACATACAGTAGTTGGGAACAAAACACATTCATGTTCAGAAAAAAAAAAAAATTCCTTATTATTTCCATTTTTTTTATTGTTTGACCAGATGATGGGGGATCTTCAGGCATCCATGATATGTAAAAAAGAATGAACAAGACTTTTATATGTTCAAAATTCTTTCAAATATTCGAAATAAAGTGTATCATAAGTGTACCACCACTTCATCTGTTGTAAAATAACCCAAATTTGAAGAAAGGATTTCTTCATCATATGTGCTTTCTAATATTGCTTAAAAGCAATTTAGTCTTTCTAAACATCTAAATATATCAAAAGAAACTTTATTATTATTTTATTATTTGGGGATTTGTAAGAAATAGAAAACTGATGTTTATCCTAACTCACCTATCAAAGGAAACTTTTAGTTCTATTTAATTTCAGTTAGGAAAAAAAGGTAATGTCAGTGTCTTATTATTCAGCATATGTACATATCTTGCTTGCTTTTTAAATTTCCAAAATAAAATACATATATTTTTTTCTTTTCAACAGAGGATGATGAATGGCATAATAAAAGTAGAAAATTTGGAAGGGATTCCAGGATCGTTATTTTTAAACTGCCAGGGAAAGCAACCAAAAAGACTCCAAGTCCAGTGCATCACATAGATCTAGTCCAAATTTCTTCGCCTTTACTTGGAAATATCACCACAGGTGACAGCAGACGAAAATAGAAAGAGTGATCTGTGGGAGTGATACATGGATACCAAAAAGAAAAACCAGGCCCATCAGCAACAAAACAACATCTCAGCAAGCAGCTCTGAGAGGGAAAACCACACGATTCCAGCAGCAGAGGTAGAGATCGAAGGCATAAAAGCAACTCTAGAACTGATAATAAGTTGTGCAGCTGAGCGTTTTAGTCCCTTGTAGCATTGAGATCAGGGTCATAACCTGAAAAAAAGCCAAGACACCTCTTTAGGCTGTTGATGCGGAAAGACTGACCAGTTCAAAAATCAATCAATGACATGCTTTATGACAAAGCAGACTTTAAAAAAAAATCAGTCTTCAACAATGCAAGATTAGTGAGAATTTAAGCCTGCAATAGTGTAAACATACGGCCATTTTTGATCCGAAGTTGGTATTTGTCATTTGTTACTTTACGGTCAATGCACATAGAGGCTGATTCAGCTCAATTACACTGGCCTTAAAAGGATACATGCATTTGTATTTTTCAGTAATTTAACTAGATTAGGGAAAGTATGAGTGAGCATACAAATTTTGTTAGATCATAAACTCATAACCGCATGGTTGCTGGAACAATCCTTCCAACGATGCTCAGCAGAGGAAATTGAAATTGTGATTTTAATACCCATTAAAACAACAGGGGTGTTAGTGACACTTACGTGGCAATTGGCAGTCCTTAAGTGCAAACTGTTTGAGGAGAGACGTTCTATTTAACTGATGAAAAATTGAGCGATGCAGAACCATATAAACATCTTTTCTTATTGTGGCCATTTTCTATTACTTTAAAATCTAATTAATATCTGAAAGTGTCCTTCCAGTTGGGACAAGTAAATTAATAACCTAAGATGCCGCTGATTATCATAAACACAATGCATTTCAAACTAAAAGTGAATCCCTAAGCTGTAGATGAGACTCTTACTCTGCAGATCATGACTCCCATCTCTGTTTAAACTGATAAAATATATATCAATGACCCTCTCTTGTACGGGCAAATAATTTGCCTTAAGGCTGTGCCGTTTGCTTAAAACCATACCTGCCCCTATCATATTACATTTTCCACCAGTATTCAATCATTGTCTTAGTTGGCCAGATAAAGGGAGAGATTGAACAGACAAATGGAGAAAAGGTGTGTGAGGAATGGAGCTGCTTATACACTCAAAGCCCCACAAATAAACTGGAGTCGAAATGCGATTCCTGTCGTGACATTGTCCCCAGAAAGTCCTAATGAAACAGATTGCTTAGTGGTTAAGGTGTTCTAATTTTCTTGCTGACAGCAATTAGAGGGAGCCTTGTTAAACTGTTGCCCTCATTAGTTTACTAAAAGGAACTGTAGAAAGAACTGTAGAGTCTAAATGTTTTCTAAGCTATCAGGCAGCTCCCAATATTGTTGAATGCCCATGGATGCCACTGATGGGTACCATATGTCACACTAATTACTGCACTGAAGTTGACTATTTGGCTGTAAAAGCTACTCATTCGATTGCTCTTTTGCCTAAGCTAATTGCATAAACAATTGACTACTCACCTGTTTGAAGGGTCCTGGAGAGATTTGAGAGAAGTCAATAATGGTCCTTAAGGTCTTCACCAGTACCATCCAGTGTTAAACGGAGCATACCTGCCTTGAGCAGGAGCAGACTGAAAACTATGTAGTCCATGTTGATTTGGCATAGATTTCCAGTTCAGGCTGCTGTAGTTCCACATTGTCCTTTTTCTCCATAGAGGGTGCTTGTTCAGTTTGGTTTTACTGGATACTTTATTTCCAAAAGATGTATTCTAATTAAAAGATCAATCTCACTTGGTCTAGTCACAATACAGATCCAGTTGCAGATGAGCAGACTTTGGAAAGGAGGAGTTCATTCACATTTTATAGAACTTTCTTATTCAGTGTTGATGAATAGAATGGAGCCTCATGAAGTCAGCGTCTGTATATGTCCTATGTGCTAGGTTAGGCTATGCTTATATGAAACACCAGACTCAAAATGTACAGCCAGCTTTGGTGGAAATAACATTGGATTTTTTTTTTCTTGATGATGATCAACTTTTCATTTTTGCCCTCTTTCTACCATCCACTCAGTCTGTTAGTGCGGCTCCTGACTGTGGTTGTTACTTCATATTTTTTATCATATCCTAGTGCAGTTTGATAATTTTTCTTTCACTTTTCCCACTGATACATATCGGTTAAAGTGGAAAATGCCCTTAGATGATAAGTGATTCCAGATGATCCCAGCTTTACAAGGTCTTGACTGGTAGTCCAATCTGGATCTGAGAACCAGTAAAAGCACTTGAAAATAAATCTGACAGTTTGGGTCTCTGACACCATGGTGTTCATGAAAAAGAAATTAAGGGATGCAGATAACAGGAGATGCAGGGAGATTAGCTATAGGGCATTATATTCTTGAGAGTTATCGCATCCTTCTTGTGTTTGGTGATGTTCATTTTCCAAATCTGACAGGAAAACAGCGTCAGGGTTCTGAAAAACAGGAGATTCAGACAACATGTGTAAACAGACTAATACAACTGTTCCACATAAAATTTTAGGAGGTTGAAGAGATTTTGCATTTACTTAAAAAAGAAAAAAAAAAGAAAAGAAATCTCACTCGGTCTGAACATAGGTAAAAAAGCAGAGGATCAGGGTTAAACAACAAAAAGAAAAAAAAATGCTTTCAAAAGATTTGTAAGATCTGTAAAATAACATTTTGAACAGGATAAAAGCAAATATACTGGAAAACATAGTAACCCATACTGTAATATGCTCAGCTCCAAGATCTACTGTATAGGTGATTCGTTTCAGATCAGTTTCAGGTAAACCAGGTTTAACCATGTTCAATTTTTCCTCACTTACAAGATGCAACACTTAAAAACTAAAGAAGCATAAAACAAGACTCTTATAAATGTATTACTGTTTTAGAACTACAGTTAGCAAGTAAAGGGTAGCCGTGCTCGAAAATAGCTATATGAGTTTAAAGAAAGGTATTTTTTGGCCTTGTAGTAGATATGCATTTCTTTCAAGGGAAACATTAAATTATCTGGTTCTAAAAAGCATGCAGGGGCTAAAGGTTTAAATGTCATTCTTTAAGCCTAGAATCCTTAAATCTTGCTTAAAGCAATTCACTTGAAAAGGACAAAGCTGCCAATTCTGGGTTTTGACTTGTAGTGTTCATTAAAGACGTGCTGTCTATTTTTCCAAAAGGCTAATGGGTGAGTTGCAATGAATGTACAGGCTAGTTTTTATAAAATTTTGTTTTCCTAATAAATAGAATCAAACTTTTACTAGGAATTTTTTTTTTATCTGTAGATGACAATTATAGGACACTGTCTATTACCATCTATAAAATCAAAGTAAGATTAAAAATGTGTCCTGACAGTTTTTGGTATCTTCAATTTGTGCTTTATTTATCAGGTCAACTATTTCTCATTTGGGTTCATGGCGCAGTTTTTCTCTAATCTAATGGATGAAGCTCTGTCCTTCTGAGTCATCAGTGTTTAGTCATCCATTATAACAACTGCACCTTTTTACCGTCTTTCATCATCTTCTATTTCAGTGGGAGTTTTTTTTCTCCATCACACAATGTCAATGGAATAAATGAGATGAAGTGACTGCTGGAAGTGACTGCGGCTTGCAATGGTTCGTGAGTGAAAACAAAAGCCAGTGGAAGAAATGAGGATGTAATATGACCTAACCAAAAAAAGGAAAAAGACAAGGAAAGGGTCAGGGGGCAACATTTTACACATGACACCTCATTAGCTAAGTGCAGGTTGGGAGCAGAAACGTAGGTAGGACAGAGGGCAATATAGGAGGAAAATATCCACGGTGCAAAAGTCATTACTCTTTGAATGTTCTGCTGGCGCCATGTCTTCTTGAGCCCAAAAGACCATTCAGATCTTAAAGTTTCTCCATTCCACACTGGGAGGCCTTCTGCCATCTGCTGTTATAGAGGTATTAAAGAATCAGAGATACATGAAAAATGTAGATGAAAAGAACACATAGACACCAAAAGGAAAGCAGGGAGTGAAAAAACAAAAGTTTGAATTTAGACCAATAATGCAAAGGCAGGTTGAGAAATACTGAAGAAAACAAAAAGTCAGTAAAGGAAGAGAAAGAATGAGAGAGAGAGCAGGAGAGAGTGTGAGGTTTCTCAGAAAGACAGCAGGGTGAGAAAATGTAGGTAATCGGACAAGTTGAATCTACTGAGACAGGTGGCAGTGAAGAATGAGGTTGGGCATATGGGATGACAAAGAGGAGAGTGATGATAGATTAAAATACAAGAAGTACTGACAGGCTACAGGGTCATTGAGGGGCCGGCGGAGAAACACACACTTGCACTTCACACTGACACACTCACATCCTCATGTTGTGCTGTTTTTCAATACAGAATAACCTTGTGACCATTTGCACTGGCTTAAGGAATTTATAATGTTTAGGGTTTTTATGGCATTCGAACATACAGTAACCACAGATTTCACTTAAAAAGCTCATTAATTAAGAATTAACCATAGTTACCCATTTAGATTTTGGTCCCAAAAGTAAATTTGTATCTTATACCAACTGTATACTAAAGGATTTAAAACTTAATCTTCACAATGTTCTTGAGTTATTGACTTTACAATATATACAGTATTAGTTATGTAGTTCTTTTGAGAAGTAGCTGTAAAAAACTATGTAAGAAAAAGACATCACTGATTGTTTGACTGCATTTTTAAGGAGGTGACAGCTTGTACACCAAAGGAAAGTTTTCTCTTTCATAATAACACTGCCCTTGATCTGAAAGAAATGTGTCTTGTTTGCGGTTTGCACTTTTACTGGGCCTTCAGGGAGGGGGCTTTGAAAAGATGAGTTCAGGTAGAGCCCTTTAGAGTGTGAAAAGTTATTTTCATATTCAAGTCTATCCTACATGAAATCCTTCCACCCTACAGGCATCAGCCTCTACAACAACTCTTTGAAGACACCACCTAACGTGAATAAAAGCAATATTTCTTTCTGTTTGGGATTAATAAAGTACTTTTAAACTGAATACAATTTTAGTACACATTATCATATGAATTAAATATTTAAAGCATCCAGGTTTAAGTCAAAAGAAGAATCTGCGCTATGCTGGATAACAGCTAGGCTACTCTATGCCGTACATACCTCTTGATCCATGAAAAATACCAACTACTAATAGAAAATAATCTGGTGCATAAATGTGCACTTACCATGGCACAAACTTAGGGGGATAGAAAAATATGCCTTGGCAAGTCAGGTTTTTTTTTCTCAACAATCTGAAAACAAATATATTAGGCAGGTGGTCATAATGTAAAGTGTGACTACAATAAATAGCAATACCTTTCTCATGGTTATCATTGGAATCTGCAAGTTTCCTTGTAGTCAACATGCTGCATAAAAGTAGGAAAAGCAAATTTTCTCTCTCTTCCAGGTAGCAGCAGCTTTAACAGGATTTTTAAAAATAGCTTACGTCCAACAAAACTAGCAATTCAGTAAATTCATAAAAATAATCTTAGAAGAATTGATAAAGTGTGGGTATGTGTATAGTCATCATACATATGACAGTTCTACGCCTTGGTCTCTCCATGTGTCTGTCAATTGTTCTTTCCCTCCGGCTCTCTGACTCGATGCAGCTCTTTCTTTGATCAAATCAATGTTTCCTTTCTCTGCATTGCAGCAACCAGTGAAATACTTCACAAACACAGTTACACGTTCAGAGAAACCCAAGGAGCCATTGCACCCCCCCGGGAGTATTGTCCCTCACTGTTGGTTGCCCTGTGAGTTCCACTGAAGCTGAAATCAAAGGAAGGAAAAAAAGTACAAAAAAAGGCCAGTGCTTTATGTTCCAGAGTAAATTCTCAAAATAACAAATAAAATGGATGGATTGTTAGTCTATCCTGTTTTGGAGATTCTTTGGAAACTCCTTTGAATTTTAAACTTCATTTATTTAAGAGAAGTTGAGGACAGAAAGTTAATAAGGGCTGCAGGGGAAAATTTTTAGTTGGTTCCATTTCAGTTTAACAATAATTATAATAATAATATCTAATATTTCAGCTATAATAGGGTTTCCCCTGACTCCTTTGACTTGCAGTCTCTAACCAACTCAGCTTTCTGCATTTCTTCCATGCATCAGAGGTGGGAAAAATGACTTAAAATCTTTAAAGTCAATTACTTGTAATTCCTCTATCCTATAAAGCTTACCGACTGTCATGTAGTGTGGATTCAATTGAGTTATAAACAGCTGACTTACTGCAGATTCTGCAAAGTTCACAACAGAGAGCCCTTTCCCTGAACCTTCTGACTAAGCTTCTATATGCTGCACATATCTCCTGTTCTCCTGCCACTATCAATGTAAGGCTCACTGACAGCTCTCATAAATCCATTCACATAGTCCAATTGAAGGACATATCAACAACTGATAAAGTATTTCAACTCAGCTATTTAAGCCACTCGTGTTAAAAGGTGTCTCCGTTTATTTATCCCATTAAAACCCCTACTTTTCCAAGGATTAAAGTTGAGCGGGCAAAACGCTCTGGTGTAGATTTAGTACGCAGAGCATATGACCAGAAAAAGATTTCACACGCTCATGTGGATTTATATTATTATAATACGCCTTAGCATTTCAAGTGAACTTCAAGACTATATATAGTTACTTCAGCAGTGTGAATCAGGGGAAGTGGGTCTGATTACACAGTAAAGAGGCCAATATATCCAAAAGTCTTTGCTTGCAATCATAATATTACTTAAAGATATGTTACTTTTAAAAATTGTCTATCAGAGAAAAGTGTACAATCATCAGTTTCCTCTAATTTAAATATCATGTGCTATTAGAATCTTGGATGTTTTTTCATCTATTTTGATAAAATTCTTGAAAATTCTGGAAAAAGTGTCTACGAAGTGTATGAGAGCTTAATAGTTTGCATCATAATTATATAAGAATAATCATATAATTATATATCTTGACATTTAAATAATGGATGGCAACTTATATATAATTATATATATATAATTATATATCTTGACCTTTAATCATAATAATGGATGGCAACTGGAAACTTGATAAGGTAACGTGAATGGCTCTGACATCTCATTATATTTACCTTTTGCTAAAAAAAAACTTTTTTTACATAGCCTTTTCATAAATGAGCCCTAGATCATGTTAAACAACCCCTTACTTAGATATTTAATCAGGGGCATACTTCTGCATATTAAGAGCCTCAATTAGCTATGATTGAGCTTGGCAGCTTTCTGAAAATTTTAACAATAAGTTAGATAAATGAACTGAACTCCTTGATAAAACCGATGAAGTACCAATAAGATAATTTCAGCTGATGTTCTATGGTCAAATTAGTTTGTTAATTTGTATTACCGTATTTTGATTTGCAATAAAGAGGAGACTTCGTCAGTCACACTTATTTTACAGAAGACGTGTACACTTAACATGTAATCTTAAATTTGCAGCACCTGTTACAGCTGTCCCCAAGCTGCAGCCCTAATCAAAATCAAGGGAAGTGTGTCAAAAGTGCTGGATTTGCAAGACCTGGGCACCTAAGATTGCACAGTTGGATGTCTTTTTTACTAATACCACAAATGGGAATACACCAACCGAAGGAGGGAGGGGGCTGTTAGATATCATTTGAATTTCCATTAAAAAAAGTTTAACAAATACATTTCATGTCTACTCTTATTTATTTATTTATTTATTTATTTATTTATTTATTATCTATTTTTTATTTCAAAACAGGCCTTTTGGATTTTATGACTATCTAAATAAGTTGTTTTTCATATTATTTTGAGATATTTAATAGCATTTGGAAAAAGTTTTGAAATTCCATTATTTCATTTTGGGATGTCTTATGTACACTCTTCAGAGTTCAAGGTTGCAGTTTAGGTGTTACTTTTTATAAACTACACAAATTCTCAAAATAGCATTTAATGAATGGATTCATGACAGGTTGTCACTGTCCCTGAGAAGTGTTGCAGCTGTCATAGGTTGTAACAGACAAGTTATTTTTTTTTAAATTATATACAAGTAAAGTACATGACTCTGCCCCATATAATCACATTTAAACTGTATCGGCTCAGAGTAGTTGAATAACATTAAAAGTGCCACATCCATTCCCAGTCTCCACTTACAGCACTTTCAATTCCCTTGCTCCTGAGATCTGCAATATTAATCAACTTGTCATGCCTTATTTTGATTAAGCATCTTATTCTCTCGAAGATGCAACCATCCCTGTTTTCTTTCGTACTTTTTCTGTCACAAGTTTTTTTCTTTCATTTAACTTTGTTAGTAATAGACTTGGATCTTTGTAATATTAGCTTTTCAAGCAATTACCTCTTGTATATTAAGAACAAGATGCATTGTACCAATTTAGCATCTGATTCAATGGTAAAAGGGATTGAATTGCAAGGAAAACTAGCTAGTTTTATCCCTATTTAGGTTTGTCTTGAGGGCAAACTTGGTGACACAAATTGAGCTTGTTAGTCAGTGCAGCTGTTATATTTACTGCCCAACTTGTTAATGCTGGGAAAACTCCTGTACAGAATCTTGCCTGTCTGGTGCTCTTAAAGGGATGTTCTACTCATTCAGAAAGACAGAAAAAAAAAAAAAAAGTTTGTAAAGATGTGTTTTGGCTTTAACATTCGAATGGAGGCTGTCAATGACGGCTAAGCAATTATCAGAGGTGTAGTCCTCCCTATTATGTTCGCCATAACATGGTGAAAAGGAATTATTTCTCTATTAAAAATAACTTGTACTGGACACTGGATTTGTGCTGCTCTGGGTTTGTACCTTCCTTCAAAATATCTCCACCTTCCTCAGAAAATTTGTTTTTAGTGAAAGCAGTGAAAGCATATTTGTGGGTGTGAGAGAGCTTTTTTCTGTTTCCTTTATGGTTCTACTCTTCAAGTCAAAAGTCTTTTGTTAGGGTTTTATTGGTATTTTTCCTGTTACATTTTTCTGCTCAGAATTTCAATTATATATCAGAAGACAAAGTTTGAAAGATGATGCTGTATGATTTAACGGATGGTTTCCTGGTTTGCACCTGTGCTTTCCTTATATATCATATAATGAGTTTCCCCAAAAAAGCAAAGCCTTAAAATTTGTGTCTTACACAACAGTTTTTGATTTGCAGAGATATTCTAAAATTTTAAAGGTAAGTTTAATTTGGAAATGTACTAAAATAAATTATTCTTTTCATTTTTTCATCGTGGGGCATTCCTACATCGATGCAAGATACTGTTCCTAAAAAGCAGAATTTGCCACTTCTAATTTAAACAAATATATTGTCAAATTCTTGCAATGGAGTTTAATGAAAAATATGAGAATGACTAAAGACAGACATGAAAGGTAACACAAACATAGGCAATGCTATACTCAATGTTAATTAGTCAAATTAATACAGTAGTTAAGGGGGAAAGACATATCCACAGGCAGCTCTTGTTTGCTTGATTTTGATTTAACTTGTGTGGTCCTATGACCCCTTCATGATGAATATACACAGCAGATATATATACTGTAATAATGTTATCAAAGGTAGACCTCTTTCTGTAGGAGTTACATAATTTCAGCATCATGAGTGTGTACTTGACTGGTCTGCAGTAATTGAATGGTCTGCAGTCCAGACTTGGGATTTGTTGATTATAGTATTGTGAATAGGATAATCAAGCAATGATAGAGAAGGACTTTCTGACACCTAGAAATAATATCCTAATTATTCAGACCATTTAAAATGCATACTTTTGTAGTACAACAGGAAATATGATAATAGCTTTCAAACATTAATAACACTGCTTAAAATGTATAGTTTCACTCGCTGTAACATCAAGGTTTATTCATTTTATCTCCTGCTTTAACCTTTTTTATTTCCCATGAGTGAAAATAAAAAATGTGTCTTATCTATTCTATTTATTCAATGATCCCTAGATGATAAAGCTATAAAAAATATTGATTAATAACAGCTATACTCAAATCTAATTTGTGTTGTCAGTTAACAGAGATTTTAACCCAATTTGTAGAATAGAAAAAAAAAAAAAACAGAAAATAACCAAGAGCAACAATGATAGCATAGCCTCTATCATAACATAGTATAAAAATATATACCATTCCTGAATATCCCCACTGAAGGCAATACATAATTTTCTATCTATTCCTGACTCAATATGATCAGTATCTCTAATCGCTAATGAATCAACAGTCAATTCTTTCCTTACCTGGTCGGCACTTGAATGCTTAGACCTATACTCACTATACTATCCTTTACCAAATTTTAATGCATAGATAAATTCAGTGATTTGCTATTTTTAGTTTCAAGGTATTAACTGTGTCTCCTTAAATAAAGATTTCAATAAGCGGACGGCGACATTTCAGATGATATCCTTCCTTTTTTAGAGGCTTGACTTTAACCCCCACAAATTTACACAAGCATAGCAATCTTTGCCCAAACTATTTTTTTTTTTAAAGGGTTGATTTTATGGCCCCTCTTTCCTTTAACAGCATCACTGATATTTCATTTTAATTCAATCTTAAAGAGGCCTGGCAAAAGTGCTGCCTATGTGACCTGGTTTATGTGAAGGCGGGAAAACAAAAAATTATGAAACCTGTTAAAGTTTAAATAGCTTTAAATCTGTGGTGGGCAAAATTATAAACATTATATTTCTCATCATATTTTGGATGGTCAATAAGAATGGGTTAAATAGGACATCCTAGTGTAGGCATAAAACAAAAGGTTGTCTCCCCTTATGTGCATAAAGGGGGACATTTATTATTTCCTTTTTTTTTTTTTTTTTTTTTTTTTTTTTTTTTTTTACAGTGTCCTGTCTGGCAAGGTGGCAATAAGAATAATTGTCTTGATGCCAAAAGGAGCCCAACAGATTTTACTTTCACAAGTGTAGCGGTATCGCAATTGCCATACCGCTCCACTTGTTTCATGTATATAAATTGCTTTATTATAATTATGCAGGGAGTTTTACAGTTCATATGGACACTGCAATGTAAGTAGAGCAGAAAAACAGAAGAAGAAGAAGGAAAAAGAAAAAAACAGGACAAAAGATGAAAGAAAGAGGAGATAGGAAGGAGACAATGACAAAACATTTTCAGTCTGCTTCAACACCTGTAATGAGATGGAGAAAAAAAAAAAAAAAAAAGAAAAAAGAACAGCACAATCAAAAAACATGGTGCGAGATATACAATAAAGCAAACACCTTGAAACTATCACTAAAGTAATATTATTAAGTCTGACATGTACTCTGTGTTACCTGAAGATATCAATGTGGGGTTTCTGTTTGGAAGTGAATTTCTAAGTACCTGAAGCCTAGCACCTGTAGTTGTTTGTGAGGGTGAACTTGTGCACGTAAAGTTTTAACCATAGAAAAAAATGCTCAATAGTGGTTGTGGAGAGCCGGAGAGGCACACCCCCCAGAGCACTGAGTCCAGCGCCGGGAGACCCAAAGCCCCAGGCGCCCAAGGGGACCCCAGAAGCGAAGGCACCAAGGCGGGGCCAGCCCCGGAAATCAGACCCCACCAAGGCAGGAGGAGAGACAGCCACGAGGAAGCCCCCCAGCCACCGCCATGCCGGCGCCCCGGGGAGCCGCGGGGACGAGTCCGCGGGCCCCGCCGGCAGCAGGCCACCCCGAAGTAGTAGGGCCGGGCGCCGAACACCAGCCCCCCCACGGCGCCGACCGAAACGCCCCAGCCCCACAGAGCACCGAAACACGCCCCGCGACCGCACCACCCAGGAAAACACTAAGACGGCCCCGCCCCCGGCCGGGGCCCATGCGCATCCGCCGCGAACCGGCCACGAGCGCCGCGGGACCCCCCCCAAAACGCCCCCCCCCCGGCCAAAAGCGCAGCCCCACCCCACCAAGACCGATGCCAACAGCGCGCAACGAAACACACCGCGCACAGAATCAGCCCGAGAGCAGAAAAGCCGCCCGGCGCAAAACCGCAAGAGGAGCAGACCGCAGCCGGCGCAACCACCCCCCCCATCAGCCCGAGGGGCAGCACAAAGCCAGAGCGGAGCGAACCGCGCCGCCCCCCCACCGGACGATGCCAAAGCAGCCCAGCCACGTCCGCCACCCCCCCCCGCAGCCCGCACCAGGCCCCGACACGCGGCCAGAGCAGCTCCGCCGCCCCGGCCCCCCACCACGCGCCGGTCATAGCCACCCCAGGCCCACACCCGCCCCGCAGCCCCACCCGCCGCGATCAGTGGGAACAGAGCAGCCCCGCCATGCCTCCAGGAGGACATTTATTATTTCCAATCACAGATTCACACTCACCCAATTTATTGCTGTTTTGCTCCATTATTATCTTGCTCAATTACACTCTATGGATTAGACATTGTCTATTTGTATCTGTTTGGCATTATTTGTGCCCTTTCTTTGTATGTCTCCAAACTCCCACTCTTTAGTTTTTCAACCTCTTAGTTTTTTTTCCTCCCTCCTTTAAAACACTTTTTTCCATGCTCTGCTGATTGGTATTCTCTATACTGAATATACTATATTTATTCATCATGCTTCTGTGTGGTCCCACTACCTGCTAGATCCTTGGAAGATGAGGGGTCTTTGGTGACAGATTGTTGTCTGATTTTCATCTCAATTGAAACCCTGGAAGAGAAGCGGGTCTTAGTTGGCGAGAGCAACTCTTCATTAACCGAGGAGTCTGTTTTTGCCATGACGCACTGTCCACTGCTCTCCTCCTCAACCAATGCCACCGTGTCTTTTGTTGTATTGCTAGGTGACATTGCCCTAGATGGCAGGAGGACCTCTTCATCCTGACTGTCAATCATCTTTGAAGGAGATTGACAGAGGACTTGGACCTGGCTCCCTCCTTGTCCATTACTCTGTGGCCTCGGTGCCGTCGCTGCAATGGTGGCTTTTCCATGGCCAGTGCCTTGATGACTGTAAACTTTGTACCGTATCATTAAAATAATGATGAAAACTAGCACAGATGCAACTATAATCCCTCCAATGATAATGATCATTGTCCCACCCAAGAAGTGGCTATGAAGTGCTTGACACTGGCTGAACTCTGTGTCTGTAGTGAATGAAAGGCAGCCCAAAGGACGTGTTGCAGTCAGTGATGTAACGATGTCATCGAATACAGCCAGAACACAGAGATCGTAGCTGCGTCCAGCAGCAAGATCCCGGACCAGAAAATCATTGGAGGTGGATGGAATCATCCTGCAAGAAGACCAAAGCAGAGAACAATGTTGGCAAGATGATTTTCAGTTAAAGAAAATATGTACAGTAGGGAAATACAATATTTAAAACAGTGTGTGGAAAATAGACACAAGGCAGGAATCAAAGGATTAAATTTTTAACAGATGTAAATTAAAGAAATATGTAAAATTTCTAATTACGAAATGAGTACTGTGGTAAAATTAAGCATTTCTTTATAAAACATCTGTTGGGTCAATAATTACAACAGAACAGTTGTCAAACAGTTTATAGGGAAAAAGACCTAATTATAATACATACTGTAGTTACCAACAAAGAGGCAGCATCTGACCTGCACAAACATCTTCATGAACGATGATGCCTAATTAAGATATAGATACTTTAATTGAGCTATCTAAGCAGTTGTGAGGAGTGAAGTTGACAAGGATGCAACATCTGCTAACTGAAACGTTTCCTTTAAAATATAAATGCTAGAGTGGGTGGAGACATTGGTCCTGATGGAACTCATCAGCTTTTTTCTATATTAAACTGAAATCTAATCCAAAAAATAAATTTGTCCCATAAGTATCACATCTCCATATGATTAAATTAATACCCTATTTTTGATAATAGTTGTAACATCACTAATTAAGTGTTATTTTAAGTAAATAAGGTTCCATCTGAAGTACCACTTATCAAGGCTAGTGGAGAGCATTTACACTGATGCATTTTAAAAATTAGCATGTAACTGAATAAATGCAAACCACTATGAAAATACCTTACATATCATCTGAAAGAAGTTACTTAGACACAAGTATTGCAATTTATTTACCAAATATATAGTTACTCACAAATTAATATATTTTGAGAAGTAAATATTTCTAAAGGCAAAATAATTACTATAATGACAGGTAGACTTGCGCAGGTGAAATGGTGGTGGTTGGAAATCGGACCATTTTCACATGATCGTACATGACTGGTTGGCTACTATAAAAAGCAAGAGACAGGCATCTTTCTCCTGTGTTTGGTCGATGCTTGTTTTGGTCAGGATGCCCAAAACACAGGCACAAAAAATCCAACAACAGAGGTGAAGAGAGACAGCATTTTGAGCTCAGACAGCAGCAGTGAGTAATCAGTGTCAGAACAACAGGAGAGAGAAAGTACTATAACAAGGATGAGTGGGGCCAGCCATGCCACCCTCTGGAGCTAAGGAAGCACGGCGATAGATTTTAGGGGCCCACTGGGAAGACAGCACGCTAAAGAGGAGCATGGAAGAGCAGAGTGGTAAATAATAAAAGCTCCAGGGAAAAAGCACCAGGGCGGGATGAGGCTACAGCTGAGCCAAGCTAGCTAGGCTAACTCCGGAGGATTGAAGGAGCATGGTGGGGAAACAGTACTCTGAAATGCAGAAGCTACTGCCGGCAGAGAGTAAGACAGTGGTACTTTTGAGAAGCTGTCAGACAGGAGGAGCAGGTAGAGGCTACAGCTTCCAAGACTAGCCTCTAAAGGCTTCCTGCTGGACATGGAAGAGTGAAATTCTGGGATCGGACAAGCATAGTATGCAACAGCTGGTTGGTGTGGAAGTAGAACAAGAAACAGTCCTTCTAGGAAGGGGTGGGCAATACGGCAAACATATCATATGGCGATTTCTTTTAACTATAAAATTACGATTTTGGTTTTCTCACCATCTTGCAGGTATGTTTGAGAATAATTTGCAGGTCTATGTATTCAAACACTTTCTCTACTATATTATACGGTCATTTTAAATTCACCCACCTCTTTCCACTTACAGGTATACTAATCCTATAATAGCCATTTGGGTTGACAGAAAGTGATTCAGGCCTCTGTCTTATCGCTGGGGGTTCGGTGTGGTTTTAAATAACTAAAGAGAAAGAGATATATTTTAGGTCAATAGACTAATATAGACCAATTTGGAATTTCTCAACACGTTTGCATTATTGTGTAGAATGCAGCTATTAGCCTAATCAGTTTTTAGCAGTAGAAAATATAGTTATTAATCATAACTAATTCCTCCTTGTAAAGGAATTGGAGGGGTATGAAAGGAATAAATTGACCAAAAATATCCATGCAATTTTTTTTAAATAAACTGTGGACATTCAAATGCTTTGTTGAATATTTTTAGTTCTTTCTTTACATTACAATTGCAATGGTATTGTATTTAATTTATGGCAAGAAAAAAAGAAAAACTATTTTGAAGCCTAGCTTTACCTTAAGCCATTTACAGTAAAAAAATTATTAAAAGAAATGAACATCAGCTGTAATGTCACTTTAGTTATGATTAAACTCATAAATCATAAGAAAAGTACATAAAAGGCAAAAACATAGCCAGAACAGTAAAGCAGTAAAATCCCTTAAAATCCTTTCATCTTATCTCATCGTCTGTACTTCGTAATCAATCAATTGAATCTCTAACGTTTCACAAAAACACAGTATCTTCTCAGCAAGGCAGTCGTGTGAAATTGCGAAATTGTAGTGGTTCAATGAAGAGAGGAAGAACTAAAAACGGTTCCTCGCTCCCACAGCCATTAATCACTTCCTGGCAGTCGTTCACATTTTGGCACAATATCCTCGCTGTTTGGCTCTCTTACTGAATGGGGTGCTTTCTCTTCAAGTGATAAAACAACTTTAACGTGTTGCCATCTGATGTGCGGCAAATGTTGCAAATTACTTTTCTTTGCAATGCAGTCATTTGAGGAAAGCCAAACAAGTCCCATATAATGGAAATAGAGGGTTTTTTTTTTTTTTTTTTTTTTTTTTTTGGTGACCAACTCCTCTGGCTTTCAGCCATGGTTCTCCATGCTTCTACTGTAAGTAAAAAAATGTTTCACTATAGGTTATTTGCTATGATTGGTTGCTAAGGCTGATTACGTATTACATGAGGCACACTATATTGCCAAAAGTATTTGCTCACCTGCCTTGACTCACATATGAGCTTAAGTGACATCCCGTTCCTAATCCATAGGGTTCAATATGACGTCGGTCCACCCTTTGCAGCTAGAATAGCTTCAACTCTTCTGGGAAGGCTGTCCACAAGGTTTAGGAGTGTGTTTATGGGAATTTTTGACCATTCTTCCAGAAGCGCATTTGTGAGGTCGCACACTGATGTTGGACGAGAAGGCCTGGCTCTCAGTCTCCGCTCTAATTCATCCCAAAGGTGTTCTATCGGGTTGAGGTCAGGACTCTGTGCAGGCCAGTCAAGTTCATCCACACCAGACTCTGTCATCCATGTCACAGTCATGTTGGAAGAGGAAGGGGCCAGCTCCAAACTGTTCCCACAAAGTTGGGAGCATGGAATTGTCCAAAATGTCTTGGTATGCTGAAGCATTCAGAGTTCCTTTCACTGAACTAAGGGGCCAAGCCCAGCTCCTGAAAAACAACCCCACACCATAATCCCCCCTCCACCAAACTTTACACTTGGCACAATGCAGTCAGACAAGTACCGTTCTCCTGGCAACCGCCAAACCCAGACCCGTCCATCAGATTGCCAGATGGAGAAGCGCGATTCGTCACTCCAGAGAACGCGTCTCCACTGCTCTAGAGTCCAGTGGCGGCGTGCTTTACACCACCGCATCCGACGCTTTGCATTGCACTTGGTGATGTATGGCTTGGATGCAGCTGCTCGACCATGGAAACCCATTCCATGAAGCTCTCTGCGCACTGTTCTTGAGCTAATCTGAAGGCCACATGAAGTTTGGAGGTCTGTAGTGATTGACTCTGCAGAAAGTTGGCGACCTCTTCGCACTATGCGCTTCAGCATCCGCTGACCCCGCTCCGTCAGTTTACGTGGCCTACCACTTCGTGGCTGAGTTGCTGTCGTTCCCAAACACTTCCATTTTCTTATAATACAGCTGACAGTTGACTGTGGAATATTTAGGAGCGAGGAAATTTCACGACTGGATTTGTTGCACAGGTGGCATCCTATCACAGTTCCACGCTGGAATTCACTGAGCTCCTGAGAGCGACCCATTCTTTCACAAATGTTTGTAAAAACAGTCTGCATGCCTAGGTGCTTGAATTTATACACCTGTGGCCATGGAAGTGATTGGAACACCTGATTCCAATAATTTGGATGGGTGAGCAAATACTTTTGGCAATATAGTGTATGTTGATGGATCAGCATAGAACTGCAGTTCATTATGTGACCTCAACAATCTTACTATCTTTTGCATAACCCTACTTCTAAAATCGAAATCAAAACAACTTATTTAAAAGCTGCCTTAAAACCTCTTAAGACAATTGCATCTTTTGTCAACAATATTTCTCTCAGTGCCAGGGTGGGGGGATTATAAAAAGCTTGCCACCACTGCCTACTACACTAAAACAGAGGTCAGTTCATGATACATCCTCATCTCCTACAATTTTGATTCTTAAAATACAATGTCAGCGTACAATAGCGCAGTTGAAGAATGTATGGATCTGATGCCGTGATTGGTGATCTGCGATCAGTAGACTTTTGTAATCGTCTCCAAAATCCTGACTGGCCAGATTGATAAAATATGAAAGAACTGAGGCTGTTTCCTCTTAAAATATTTAATAATCATAAAGAATCTAAATTTAGAACAAATATATAACAAACATATTGATCATTATTGTTATAGTTTGTTTATTATGCATGCAGTTTTGTATATTTAATTAGCAAAAAAGAACCAAAAGTGTATAGTATATATCAGTTTAGAATAAAAAATACAAACATAAAATATAATAATGTCCAGTTTGGAAAAAATTCATAATGTGAAAATGATTTTTTCCAATTTTTAACAGGCATGAGAATGATTAAAAACTCCCAAAGAGGTGGTATATCTTTGCCGTAAGAAGATAAACATGGCTTGAAATAATAATTATTTAAAACACTGATTCTTGGGAATTTGGATAAAACAGGTTTTAATTTTGAAAATAAAAAGTTAGTTGGATTACAAAATCTGAAGGTATATTGTTATAGACCAAGGTCTTGGCTGTTCAGCAGTGTACAGGTGCAACCTCCTCATTTTGTATTTCTTTCATAA